TAACCCGGGGACTGCCTGTATTATAAGTAAACATTCCCTACTATGTAACCGGTTTTGCTAGATCCTACATCACAGTTGCTGGCAAGCCTTACATTTTCTCATAAAATGCATATCAATCATCTATATATTGCTGACTCCAGTTAGCTTCTGGCCCTTGATACTACACTTTGTGTGCCTAGATGCTGTAAATAGATAATGTTCGTTCTCACTATGTGACAAGAGTAGAGTGTCTCTGTTACCCCTTCTGTGATTTCTTTTGTTTCTGTTCCCCCCAGAAGCAAAATCAGAAGAAGCACATTTTCTTTATATTATTAAGGATGACTGCGGATGACAACTACATTGGAAAAAAAACAAACAACTTTAACAATCCTTCTGCAAAGAAAAGCTTTATTACTCAACTTCCCTACCACAACTGTCCGACCTTTGCTCTCTTGCTAAGTCAGAGTGTCCGATGCCTGGTTTCACTATACAATCTATGGTTCTTCCTGCTGAACCCTATATCGCTACAGGACACATTAGTGACATAGGGGCTCTTGGAAGAATGCACAGTACACAAGGAAGGACCGGGCATCCAAAAAGCTGGTAGTGAGTAAAAATGTAAAATTTCCAGAAATTTTTAAGCTATGAGGGGGGGGGAAAAATTGAAAGAAATTAAATGTGGAGTATTTTTACAAATTGAAAGTCATTTTGTTACACCAGGAAGGTGAAACGCAGTGTATATAAACGTATTGTGCTTGAAATAAAAGTACAGCTTATTTAGTAAATAAACTAAACTTGCTTTTTAAAATTGTATTTTATATTTGCAAATTGCAGCTTTGCTCTCAGCGGAAGCTGCACTGTGGAAATGTTTCCAAACTCTAGATGTTGATCTCAACATTTTACTGAGAGGAGGGGGGGAAAAGACAATTTACTGAGCAGACTATAGGTAAACATAATACTGTGATGGTGTAGAACATTATTCGGAATCATTTAAAGGTTATAAAGATAAACTAATTTGTCAGCCAAATGTCCCATCTTACCTGTCAATTAAGACCTGAGAGGACAGAAACTATCATCTACTATCATACCAACAAATCACCCAACTGTAGGAGGTACAAGATAGAGCCCACAAGCTAACTAAACTGGAGGAGCTTTTCCTCTGCAGTGCCCCTAGTGGCAGAAATGCTTATTTCTTTTTTAGTTTGAGAACTGAGTTGAGAAGTACAGTGTTACTTGAATTGTATTCCAGGATTTGCTTGTCTTCAGCTGAGAGAATGTGCAATCATTTAAGACTTTACTTAAAGTCTCATAAATCTTTCATTAAGGTCTTCATGTTATATAGTTTAAATACCATGTCAAAGATATATTATTTATCATTGTAAAAGAACAATCCACGCTTTTTTTATTTCAATTTTTCAAGAAAAAAACAAAAACGGCTTTGGGCAAAAAAAATAATGTTTTTTTTTCTAATGTTTCCGGGTTTTTTTTCCAGCCCTTCCATCTCTAGTAGTGAGTGAGATCACAATATGTTCCACTAGCATTTGTCTTCAAGAGAGTGGAGATTGTCAAAACAGGCAGTAGCACAGGAGTATTGATGCTTTACAGGGAGCCCATTTTAAAAGTTTTACATTTAGTAACAAAGTTGTGTTAAATTCAGTTTAAAAGGGTCTTTTTTTTTTCTTCAAATTATAGCTTATAGTTGTTATGGTAACTGAAGCACTGCAAATTGTAAGTTTTCCACATAAATTCCATACTATGTATGGGAAATACAGAGCTTGAGAAACACGAAGAATGTATTAAAAAACATACTACCATTTAGGGCAGCAGTGTATTTTTAGAAATTCCTGGCATATCTGACCTAGACTTCCTTTATTAAAACAGCAGCATTTTTCTAAACATGTACAAAGCAGATAACATTGCTTCTAAGCATTTACAAAATATACACATTTTTTAAGGTAAGCATTGCATTACAGAATAAAGGCTTACAAAGGATATGATAACTGGAGTGTACTTTAGTGTACTTTCATAACCTGAACATGACATGGCCTAAAAGTAGGATTTTTGTACCCATTGTAAAATCCTTTTCTTTGCGTTTATTGAAGGACAGAACAGAGATATAAAATCTCTGACCACTGGGTTATAGTGTCGACTTCTGGAGTAGCACACTGGGTAACAAACTAGGGATGCACCGATACCTGTATTTCGGTATCAAGTACGAGTGCCGATATTTTTTTTTCGGTACTCGCCCATACAGAATACCAATATCGGAAATTTCATTAACCAGTTGACATCCGCGGTGTTAAACCCCCTTCCCATCCAGGCCATTTTTCAGTATTCAGCGCTGCGGTACTTTAACTGACATTTAGAGAAATGATGGAGTCGGCTTTCTGGCCAATCAGGAAGCAGGGTGCCGTGTAATGACGCGGTGCCCAGCTTCCTTATTGACCGGGAAGCCGGCTTCATGCTCCCTCGTCATGAGGTGATGAGGGAGCAGGAAGCCGGCTTCCCGGCCAATCCGAAAGCTGGGCGCCGCGTCATTACTTGGCGCCCGGCTTCCTGATTGGCCAGCTTCCAAGTCGGTCAGCAAATCATTACTGTCCAGCTTCCAGATTGGCCGGGAAGCCAACTCCATGCTCGCTGCCCGGCTTCCTGATACGGTAGTATCGGGCTAGGCATGGGAGCATTTGGGTCAGTACGAGTACTCGCCCAAATACTCGGCATCGGCACCAATACCGATACTATTATCGGTATCGGTGCATCCCTATAAAAAACAAAGCACAACCTAGGGGCACCCCCCATTTGCTAGAGGCATCTCACTTAGTCACAAAGCAGTACACAAAACAATTAATCAAAGACAAAACAACCAGAGGTGCTGTGTTCGTCAATGAAGACAGAAAAAAGGATTTTATGGCGAGTACAAAAATCTAATTTGTTTTTTTTTTGCATTTATTGAAGAACACAGGGGAAGGTCTTGAATCTCTGACCCTTTGGAACACTAAAACCAATCCCCCAAAGGGGTACAATATAATGCCACCTGTAAAACAAGCAAACTGTGAACGGGATATGGAGATGAGAAGTCTCCTGGCAGAAAAACGTGTAATGGCCAGATCCACCTGGAAAAATGGCCCGAGGATCCTACATGCCTCATTAGGGCCCTCGGACAACCACTTCCAAAGGATGCAGTGCCTGAGAGATGAACCCTCACAGTGCAAACTATCGTATGGAAAATGCACTTCTGAGGCTACCTCGGAGCTAGTTCTAGCCAGCTCAGTTTAAAAAAATCTGAATGTATTCCTAAATGTGCAGATTATAACTACATTAAAAACATTAATAACCCCAGAGATTGCTGATCCAGGGAATATCTGGTTGTCTTAGGGTATCAGGAATGATTGTTTCCCCAGTTGAAGCAAATTGTATCCTGCTTTACAAGGGTTTTTTTGCCTCCCTCTGCATCAACTGATCAACCATGGATAACTGTGGACTTAGGGTTCTGATTAGGGAGGTTTCCCATTTATTTGTGTTTTCATCTATTGGTTGAATTCCATGAACGTGTCTTTTTTTAACCTAACTTACTACCGGTATGTAAGCACTGAGGCCCAACAGATAGATGAGGGAGCCATGTCCTCAGGGCCATCTTTAATGCAGGGCAAAAGGGGCAGCTGCCCATAGCTTTCTTCATTAACAACAACATAGGGTTTGCTTGTCTTTCAGCAAACAGAATATGTTACAAGGGGGTTGATTTCCTAACCTTATAAACACGCCACGAACATGTATACACCTCTGTAGTGTGTTCCCTCCCAGCATGATCTATGGGTGGAATCTAAACACCTTTGTAGTGTGTACACACCCAGCAGGTGTGTTGTGCAAAGCCCTGCATGAATTACAAGGTAATGTTGTGTAAATTAGCTCTATGTTGTGTTGCTTGAGTTGATGAATGCAGGAATGTAAATGCATGAGCTAACCATTTTTGTCTAAACTGTGAAGCAGCATTATATATGCATCATGTGCATGATTTTTCCATATATGGCATTAGTGGAAATATGCTTATAGAGACTTTTTGGTTGATAAATACGTTTTGCTGTGTGAAAATCACACGCACCTGGTGCGTGCGTGTGTTTAGGTTAGTAAATCACCCCCATGGTCTCACTGACTCTAGGTTGTTGGACATATTCTATGTGCTCCACTTGCTGGACTTTTGGGTTTTCCTCAACAGAGCCATAGTCCACAGCAGGGCTCAATATGGTTTAGCAGCTCCCAATGGCTTTCACGCCTCTCGTGTGCCACTGGTTCTCCTTGAAAGTCTCCCATGTGACTCCAACACACACACAGTCACCTGGCTCCCCTCTGACTTCTGGGCAGATTCCTCTTTACTCCTGAACACTTCCTTTCCTCTTCCTAGCAGAAGCCCTAAACATTAAGGTGCCCATACACCTTACAATTATCTGGAGATTTTTGTCTGCGATTGAGTTTTCGTCCGAAAATCTGCCAGTTGATGGGGAGTGCCCAACCTCAATTACTGTACAACTGGCAGATTTTTGTCTTTCAAGCAAGCTAGAAAACTTTTGTCTAGTTGGACAAAAATTGACAGGTTTGGCATTGTTGTACAACAAAAATCTCAAGGTGAGAACTGCACATGTTCAAACGAAAATCTCTCCTTTCGATCGATGAAAATTGGCCAGGTGGTGGTGCTGACAAGCGTTAATTGCGAACTACATTGGTCTGTGCATGATGGGCTAGTTGTAAGAAATTTGAACGAGGGTGAGATGTTTGGGGAAAAAAAAGCTGTACAATGATTGTATGGTGTATGGGCACCTTTAGCCAGCACCATTTCCATAAGGGCTGTGCACAGGTGTGCAATCATTAGGTGCTGGCCACTACTAAAGCATGGACTCAGCGATGGAGATTTTATCCCTCCCAATTCTCTTTGAAATTTTCCAGTTCCTGGATCCCATGCCAAATCCAGAAAACCTGGAAAGAACTGCAAAGCCAGCTCTTTCCCAGTAAGGGATCGTTCACACCAGATGCAGTGCGTTCTGGCCAGAATCGGGCCAGAACGCACTGCATCTGGTGTGAACGAGCCCTTACTGGGAAAGAGCTGGCCCGGTCTGGCCAGAACGCACTGCATCGCATTGCGGCCGGCTCACTTTTTGTGGGGCAGGAGGGGGTGTGGCGGTCTATTGAAGTGGATGGCACCGTAACCACACCCTCCAGCTGCAATGAGATCGGCCGCACGGGATCGCAAGGCACATTATGCCTGTGGTCCGGTGCAATCAATATAGTTGCAGCATTTTTGATCGCACTGGACCATATCGTGCAAGATACTGAGGCTTGGCCCGATGGGAGATTCCTCTATCCACACAGTTTAGCGTAGATGGAGGAATCTATTGCACTTATTGCACAGATAATCGACAGCTTAAGGCTAGGTCCATACCTAACACCTGGGGGGGTGCTGCAGTAATGCATGCACGTTAACACTGTGTGTTACATATATGTGGCGCAACAGCAAGGTTTGTTGGGGTGCCATTCAGAATAAATGGCACTGCATTTTAATTAACCTGACCTACTATGTAGCTTAGTTGAGATATAGAAGATAAGGTTGGAAAAAAGACACAGGTTCATCTCTGTGTGTGACAGTTTGTTTTACGAGTATACACACCCCTGTATGTTGTGCTCAGTGAGGAAGACATCTAGACATTTTGTGATTTTGTCAATGCTCATGATACCACTACTTGGAGAAGGAAGTTCCACATTCTTGCTGCTCTGACGATAAAGAACCCTTTCTGCAAACGTGGAGGAAAAAATGCATAAAGCATGTCGCACATCTTGCTACATAAACTACTTTTCTGTGTTTGCTATGCATATGGGAACCCATTGAAATCAATGGGGATGCATGGCAAACGTGGAAAACAAACAAGCACAAAAGCACGTGAAAGCAACACGCAATTCTGCTACGCTCAGGTGTGAATGGGGAATAAATTGTGGCCACGTGTCCTTCCTTCTCTGGGACCCAAGATTGTTGCGGTATTGTTGCCTTTTTAAACTGAAGAAAACATTGTACTATCATTGTACTATCTACAAGGAGTTTGCATGTTCTCCCTGTGCTTGCGTGGGTTTCCTCCAGTTACTCCGGTTTCCTCCCACACTCCAAAGACATGCTGGAAGGTTAATTGTCTCCTGTCTAAATTGGCCTTGTATGGGTTTACAATGGGGAGCTTAGATTGTAAACTCCGTGAGAGCAGGGACTGATGGGAATGTGCACTATGTACCTGTAATATGCAAATAAATATATAAAATATTCAACGTCAGCCATATCCATGACATTTGTGACCAAAGTCCAATATTCATCCTTCATGGGACTTCCTTGTTCTTTCTTTGTTCTTTCCTTACCTTTTTACTGTTGATATAGTTATAGAATGTTTTCAGGTTTTTCTTACTTTCTGTGGCAATGCGGTTCTTATAATCTACTCTCACTGGCCACTTTATTAGGTACACCAGCTTGGCCCCCCTTTTTTTCTTCAAAACTGCCTTAATTCCTCATGGCATAGATTCACCAAGCTGCTGGAAGCATTCCTTGGAGAGTTTGATCCACGCTAACATGAAATCATTACACAGTTGCTGCAGATTTGTCAGCTACACATCCATTATATGAATCTCCCAATCCACTACATCCCAAAGGTGCTCTATTTGATTCAGGTGACTGTGGAGGCCATTCAAGTACAGTGAACTTATTATCATGTTCAAGAAATCATTTTGAGATGATTTTAGCCCTGTGACATTGCGTGTTATCCCGCTGGAAGTAGCCATCAGCAAATATGTACACTGTGGTCATAAGGGGATGGACATGGTTAGGCTCCATTCACATATAGCGGAAGCGTTTTCAGAGCGGAAACCATGCGGCACGAAAACACGCAAACTTTAACATACACGTTTGCGGCTAATACTATAGCTGGAATGTGCGGAACCTGCCAGAAAATCTCGCTCGGACTTTTTTGCAGGATGCACATTTTTGTACCACACAGACGGCACTCTAGCGTGAACAACACACAGCAAAAATAATTTTTTATGTTTAGCGCATTTTCACATTTACACACGGAAAACCGCTACTGTGTGAACGGAGCTTTTTTTGGTACTAAGGGGCTCAAAGTGTGCCAAGAAAATATCCCGCACCCTGTTAAACCACAAGCCTGAACTGTTGATACAAGGCAGGATGTGTATATGTGTGTATACAGTACATATATGTGTGTGGTTGTGGGCGTATAGGACTTAATATAAGCTAATGATGTGCATGTCCCAGGTGTTTAGCTAGTTTTATTCAAAAGGGAAGTGTAACAATAAATAACAAACTCTTCCTCTGCTAACTATATTCAAAAGGGAAATGAAACTGTAGTCATATGTTAATAGGACTGATAGGATGTATGGCACCAGCAGAAGGTTGTGTTTGTAATTTCATAACAAATGGGTATTTGTCCAATTTTTTTTTACTGCGATACAAACTGCAGTTTGGTGCAAGAATTGTTGAACTTACACAATGTCCTTCAATGATGTTGAAAATAGCTGACACAAAGAGTCTTAGGCATTTTAAGGTAGGATCTAGTTATACCGCTGTCATAGGAGATGAAAGTGGTAAACAACACAATCGATGTTAAACAATATGGTAAATAATAGCTAGAAGCATTTCAAAGGAAAACCTGTTTATGCAATTGTCCCAGGTTTTGTGGGATTAAAGGATTACTGTATGTTAACAATAAGATCAAACGTGTTTCTCTGGCCAACCAATCAGCTTCTTCCACCACTTAGTGAATGAGGGTATTGGGTATATCAAGGAAGGGCCAGAGTCTGGCTAAAACAAGTCATTGTCGTCATCCTCATTATCATCATCGACATCAGGAAGATAGAAGTCTAGGTACACATAGAAAGGGGCTCACAGGGTTTTTATTATTATTATGTATATTATCTGTTGGACTGTTCTTGTTCATCTGTTTCTGGGATCCAATAGGCTCCAGGCTCTCTGGAAAAGAACCGAGGTTGCCTGGATATTGCATTCTACATATTCCTTTTCCAAACGCACATAAACATTTTTATATATGTTTATAGAAATGTATAAGTACAGGATGGATCCATGCTTACCGTATATACTCGAGTATAAGCCGTCCCGAATATAAGCCGAGGTACCTAATTTTACCAAAAAAAACTGGTAAAAAGTATTGACCCGAATATAAGCCGAGGGTGGGAAATGGGGAGCTACTGGTAGATAGATACCAATAAAATGACATTAATATTTATTTAAAAGAAAAATAACCTAGCTCTGTAAGTGGAAAAGGGGGTACAGGGCTACATATCATGTACTACGGATCATTTAACCCATTCATATTAGCAGAGGATAATTGTAAATCTATTGTTCAGTGCACTCTATATGTAGTATATAGTACATGTACATATAGAGTGCCTGCAACAATACATTTACAATGATCCTCTGCTAACATGAATGGGTTAAATGATCCATAGTACAGGGCTACATACAGATCATTTAATACATTCATGTTAGTATAATTGTAAATGTATTGTCTGCACTGTATTAGCAGTATATACTCTATATGTAGTATATAGTACATGTACATATAGAGTGCCTGCAACAATACATTTACAATGATCCTCTGCTAACATGAATGGGTTAAATGATCCATAGTACAGGGCTACATACAGATCATTTAATACATTCATGTTAGTATAATTGTAAATGTATTGTCTGCACTGTATTAGCAGTATATACTCTATATGTAGTATATAGTACATGTACATATAGAGTGCCTGCAACAATACATTTACAATGATCCTCTGCTAACATGAATGGGTTAAATGATCCGTAGTACATGATATGTAGCCCTGTACCCCCTTTTCCACTTACAGAGCTAGGTTATTTTTCTTTTAAATAAATATTAATGTCATTTTATTGGTATCTATCTACCAGTAGCTCCCCATTTCCCACCCTCGGCTTATATTCGGGTCAATACTTTTTACCAGTTTTTTTTGGTAAAATTAGGTACCTCGGCTTATATTCGGGACGGCTTATACTCGAGTATATACGGTATATGTTGTTTACACCAAATTCTGACCAGGCCTTTTGCATGTTGCAGCAGAAATTGAGACTCATCAGACCAGGCAACATTTTTCCAATCTCCTTTTGTCCTACTTTGGTAAGCCCTTCTGAATTGTAGCCTCAATTTCCTGATCTTAGCTGACAGAAGTGGCACCCAGTGTGATCTTTTGCTGCTGTAGTTCATCTGCTTCAAGGCTGGAAGTGTGCTCAGAGATGCTCTTCTGCACAGGTTATCTGAGTTACGGTTGCCTTTCTAACAGCTTGAACCAGTCTGACCATTCTCCTCTGACCTCTTGCATCAACAAGGTATTCTTGCCCAGATAACTGCCCCTCACTGGATATTTTCCCTTTTTCGTTTTCACTATTCTCTGTAAACCCGAGGGATGGTTATGAGTGAAAATCCCAGTAGATCAGCATTTTCTGAAATACTCAGACCAGCCTATCATGCATCATCAACCATGCCATGTTCAAAATCACTGAAATCACCTTTCTTTCCCACTCTGATGCTCAGTGTAAACAGATTGACAGATCACCTTGACCATGTCTACATGCACTGAGTGACTGCAATGTGATTGGCTGATTAGATATTTCCGATAACCAGCAGTTGAACAGGTGTACCTAATACAGTGGCCATTGAGTGTATTTAGTTGCTCTGATTGCATGCTTGCATTCACTCTAATGCTTAAACGCTGAAGTTGTCCTTTCTGTTATGTACCTTTTTAAAGGTTACCGTTTTTCTCTAGATAAATTAAATATAAACAAGTCACCGAGGCCTGATGATGGCATATACCTGCAAGTCCAGGTATTGATTGCAGTACACCTCTGGTGCCTGCAATACCTGACATGGATAATCAGTAGACATCTTCAACACCCTACCTGTTCCTTATCAGCTGAATCCTTTGCAATACATGTTACATGTACTAAAATTATATATACTGTATATATGTGTCAACAATATCATGTAATAAACAATGGGTTTCATTTACTAAAGGAGTAAAGGCTGTTTACTTGGCAAAATAAATGCTCACTTTGCAAAGTGTATGTTCATGTAGCTTAGTAAATACATTTATGCTTTGTCCACTTTGAGTATTCAATTATGCTGCAAGGGTAAAAAAAATAGGATTTTGCTTGTATATCATAATAATTGATTTAAAGCCCATTTCCACCTTTGCGGAGGTATTTAAATAAAAAACATATGCCAGCAGTGTACACTGAGTGAACATGAAGCAGACATATGCAGTTACTGTATATGAACACAGAAACTTACATTTTGTGTTAGCTTTCCCCTTCATATCCTTGTGGAAATGGCTGCCTCTGTGCTGTGCAAGCAATTTGTTGATGTTAGCTCTCTCCCTCCATTCATTAGTATTCCCCTCACCCCTTTGGACAGTGTATTGTGTGCAAAGGTGTAGCTGGTGTTTAGTGATCGTGTTACACAGAATCATAGGGAGGGGGCAGCTGTTTACAGCCTGCTTTACAATCCGACCCCGGTGTCAGACGGAATTTCCTATGGAGAAGATTTTGAATTTCTAGGTTTAAGGCCTAATAAAAACTTTATAAAAAAATGAAGAAATTGATTCATGAAAAAGTACACACATATACATCATTATCACTGCACCTCATTACCACAATAAATACTAATCACTTGCAAAGGTGAAAATGGACTTTAAACAGCTTCACCTCATTTACTAAGCTAAGTAAACATATACTTTGGAACGTTAACGTACACTTTACAAAGTGAGCATGCTCTATTCCTTTAGTAAATCAAAACCTGTGCATTATATTAATTGTAAGTACCAAATACATTTTATCATACCAGTGGAATACTTGCCATTAATTGTCATTACAGTGTTCTTCCCATAGACATGCTGTTATTATAAAAGGAAACACTAGATAACGTGTGATCAATGCAAGTACGTAGGTAAAACAAACATAAAAAATGAATGATACAGAATTCAAAGTGTATTGTGTAACTTTACTAGATTATGGTGTATGACTGACACATATCTATGATACCTAAAAATAGATGTATACTATCCAAAGCACAACGTGGACCACATATTTTATGAACCAACACCTGAATTATATTGTTCAATACACACTAATATTTTTAGAAACAGATACCTAAAAAATGTAAAAGACAAGTCGCTTAGCAGGAAAGATCTGTTTGAACCAATTTTCTACCTTCATAAATTACCTAATTTCTGGATGGAAATCAGTGTGTGTGTGTGTGTGTGTGTGTGCGTGTGTGTGTGTGTGTGAAGAGGGGCTAAACATTGCAAGATATCACAGAAAAAGTTTTATGAGTTGCTCATCCCTTTTCAGAGTCTCTTTACCTTTTTTTGAACCCATCCCTTTTAGGATGTCCTTCACGTTGCAGTATCACCAGGGCCAGTGCTGCAACTAGGCAAATTAGGCAGCCGCCTAGGGCGCACTGCTACCTAGGGCGCAGCCTTGACCATTCACCCCCCACGGTGCCCCCATCTATTTGAAATTGCAAAAGCCAATAGCAGGCTGGCTATTGCACCCGCCCACTGAGCAGAGGAGCGTAACTGAGAGACAACTTTCTCTCTCAGGATCGCTCCTCTGCTCAGCGGGTGGGGTTTCTTTAGCCAGTCTGCTATTGGCTATTTCAAATTAAATTAATCCACTTATCGCCTACAGAAGCTTACCCACAGGAGAAGGGGGCTGCGCAAGGGGGCAGGATTGGGGGTTGCGCCACGGGAGGGGGGGTGCAAGTAGCTGGTCTTGCCTAGAGAGCAAAATAGTCTAGCACCGGCCTTGAGTATCTCTACATCTCCAATGCTCTAAACAGAAGTGCAGGGAGACTGTGGGAAAGGTCACAACTTATATAAAGTGTTTGTCCAGTAAAAAAAAGTAGAACATCTGTCCAATACAGGTACAGTCCCCATGTTTTTTTTCTTTAAAACCATACAAAGAAATCCCTGTTGATCCTAAAAGAAATTGAGTGAGCTCACAACCTTCTGTGCAATCGGTTTCTGCAATATTGAAACCAAAAACAGTATTATCAGCCCTGCCCAGTTCACTTTTGTGTACTCTTTACAATGTTATTGAGAAGGGAGAGGATCTGTAGTCCAAAACAGGAGCAAGCAGCTTAAGGTGACGATGCTGCTTCTACCAGATACAGTACAATGAGTAAGCATTGTCACACTAGGACACAAAAAGTGTTACTGACAGGATCCCTAGATGAAAATAAAGTAAAAAAAGCCTGAAGACAGAAACAAATACAGTTACTACATCTAAAGACTGGTAAGCTGCAATATATCGAATATTTGAATGTAAAACATGTACATTTTAAATTATCAGCTTGGTGTTCTCAGGTAGAAATGGCTTTTACAGAGTTGAGCTACAGCAAGTAAATCATCTCAGCCGTGAAGCCAATTTGGTTGTAGAAACATGTTAAGTTTGAGCCTTGTTTTCAGGAGTCTTGTCATAGATATAGCTTCCAACACCCCCCGTATTCACACCTGTAATTTAAAAATTGACACATTTAATAAATTAGTCTGCTTTCACAAAAATCATATATCTAAACATTATTTTGAAAACGACATGTGTTAAAACAATGCATCATTTATTTATCTATTGCTTTAATTATTCTGTTCACTGTCTACATGTTGTACTTTTAGAGTGTTTCCATTGGTGGATCAGTGGTATATTTTATGTTTGGTTGCCTTATGTACACCAAAGTACTACTCTCCCTGTTTCACTTATTGATGTAGAGTGGCAGCAAGGAATTACAAACAACCTTGGATGCTTATCGGCTGAGTGCATGAAACCAGAATGCATTTTTAGCCATGAAGGGAGACTCAGCAGTGATGTAGGGAGTCAGAGGATGGAACCACAAAATAGTGGTTCCAAAATAGTCTAGCACCGGCCCTGAGTATCTCTAAATCTCCAATGCTCTAAACAGAAGTGCAGGGAGACTGTGGGAAAGGTCACAACTTATATAAAGTGTTTGTCCAGTAAAAAAAAATTTAGGACATCTCTCCAATACAGGTACAGTACACATGTTTTGTTTCTTTAAAACCTTACAAATAAATCCCTGTTGATCCTGAAAGAAATTGAGTGAGCTCACAACCTTCTGTGCAATCCGATTCTGCAATACTGAAACCTGAAACAGTATTACCAGCCCTGATCAGTGCATAGAGGGGGACAATGACATTCGTTCCTACCAAAAGATTCAAATGCTAAAAGACACTGGAAGAGGTTACAGCACTGGAATAGAAGGGAGGTAGGAGACACGGGCTGCCAGAGAGGAGAATATAACTTTTTCAGGGGTGTTCCGGTTTAATTTATTTAGAGTCCTGGCTTCGTAAAATGCCATATTCTTCTTTTGTAGGGGAGGGGAGTGCTGTTTTAATTTACTTAGAGATCTGTCAGGGTCTCCTTTGGCTGAGCAGTTTACATTGCAGCAAGCTTGAACTTGCTTGAATATATACACACTCAAGGGTCAAATTATCACTAGGTAATAAATAAATGAATGGGGGTCGTGGCTACTACCAGCATGGAAAACTGCTGCTGAGCTCCCACTGAGAGTTTCTCTATCCTGTGCCATCCTGCAGACTTAAAGCCATTACAGCCCCATTATCACACTTCCAAGTGCCTAAACCACTCTAGCATCTAGTCATGAGCAGCGAGAAGCAGCAAACAGCCGCTGAATAGCATAAAGAATTCACCAGCATGGATCGATGAGATGGCAACCGGAGCCTTCTTTACACCAGAAGTGGTGCACACACAGCCTCAGCTGAAGCTTACTCTGAAACGTGTAACCTCACGTTGTGGCAGGAATTACAGCATGTAATACATCTTTGACAGGGAAAATAGAGGAATTTAAAGTTAATATAGATCTCATTTGTCCTAACCTGCAGAACATAAGGGAGGAATGACAGAAACAGAAAATAAGGTTTTGATTTTTGCTAACCAAAAACAAATACCGTATTTGCCGGCGTATAAGGCGACTGGGTGTATAAGACGACACCCTAATTTTCCACTTAAAACATAGGTTTTGGGCTATACTCGTCATATAAGGCTACCCCACTTCCGAGGCAACACCATTTAAAAATATCATGGATGGATGTGCGGTAATACTGTATGTACGGTAGCTTCAGCTACATACAGTATACCGCGCTGAGCCAATCATGGCGAGCAATGTATTCTATTAATGAATACAAAGCTTGCTTGGATTGGCAGAGGTTGTGTACATCGCTCGCCGTGATTGGCTCAGCTACTATATGTAGCCGAAGCTACCGTACATACAGTATTACCGCACATCCAGCTGGCTGACAGATTAGGGATGTTCATTTTGGGCCAGCTTGGCCTAAACGAACTAAAGGTATACATTGTATACCCCGTGTATAAGACGACCCCCAATTTTTGGGGGATGATTTTAAGTATAAAAAGTAGTCTTATACGCCAGCAAATACAGTATGTATATATATGACTGTTCTGCTTGGACTACATCAAATATACTACCCTCAGAAAAAGTATTAAAGTAATTTAAACATGTATTTTAGAGAATACAAATATTTTAAAGCCAACTTACATATATCAGAGAACTTGCCGGAGAATGTTGATTTACAGTGGAGGGGGAATACATTTTGCACCATGCTAAGGCAGTTAATAAGCCACAGGTAGAGTATTAAGGGCCATGGTAAATACAACAAAGACCATGCTCGAGTGTTGTAGAGTGTAATGTCTAGTAGATGTGTGATGCCTGTATAAGGTGATCTCAAAAAATTGTCAAAAGGTTTTACACAGCGCTTTAAACTAAATATGAAAAAAACACAAATCTTATGTGCTAATAATCAAAGAAATCAAAATGCTAACAATATAAATGTGGTCAATATTGAAACATAAAACAGCCTGGTTTCCAAAAATAACCTATATTAAGTTCCCTAAAGAAACACCACATTTAAATGAACTTTTGATATGTGTTAAATCTTCAATCCAGTGACTGATAATCAAATTAATCACTGTGCTCTACACAACTCTCCACACTCACCAGATGGAGTGTGACCTCGTATTGTGCATACTAAGGTCAGGTCAATATCTGTTTGTTGTTATGGAAACCCATTGGACAGAGGTTAGTGGAAAAGAGTTGTAGAGTTTTAAACTTGGGGTCCACAACCAGCGACCCAACTTCATGGATCAGGTGATTTTGAATAATTGACTTAAATGTAAAGAATTCTACTGAGCTAGAAAGCCCACTTGAAAAGGCAGACTGTGCCATTGGCCCCATTTGAACATGAGTATGGTCTACACCATTGACCCATAAATCCTGGGACACTGATGCTTTCAGGTGTGAAGATTGTAGAGCTACTCAGACTCTTTGCAACTACTGGATTTTTTTTTTAAACCTGTAAATCTTTATCAAAAGATATAAGACAAATCCAGGGAGCAGGTGTGCAAATCAATACATAAACATAAGGTATAGAGTAGAACAAGAGGAGACACCACTTCAAGATACCATCCAAAAAGTACTATCTTGCGCATAAGAAAATACAGCGTCATGTGGATCCTGATAACATAACCATGACTTCATTCACCTGCAGAATAATATTAACCAGCAGAATGAAATGTCTCCTTTTTTAATGGGAACCACAATACTCGGCACAGGGCGGTGAGGAAAGAAATATGGAGAAGAAAAAGAGGGATAGAGCAAAGAGGGGAGAAACAGAAGGTACGGGGTAAACAGAGAAATCTCACTCAAAGCAATAAATCTTGTGTCAATATGGTATATCTAGAAACAGTGTCATGTACCTTAGAGTAACCACCTTACAAACCAGAAAAAACATTGGTTACGCATGTAAAGATGAGAAGCGAGAGTCAAAGATAATGAAATCAAGTCATTAAGCCTGAATAGGCCAATGGTTGTCTGAGAGCCAACAAGTTAGAGTGGAATTCATCCTAACCAGTTTGCTTTTGCAGAAGATAGCTTCATGTGAGTGTGGATGTTGAGTGTAGAAATCACAGAAGTTAACAAGGGAGATTCTGCATTTTTCCATAGTCAAGTAAAGGAAAGTCTAGCCACTACGAGCACATGCATTAAGAATGTGTTTGGGTTCTGTGCAGCCAGGAGGTGATTCCAACTTCTAAGAGTGCTAGGACAGGGTCTGCAGTAGTAGGCACATGAGTGACCAAGGATATGAATTTGAAAACCCCAGACCAGAAAGCGAATATTTTCCCACATTTCCACCAGATTTCACATATTGAGCCCACATGACCTCAATTTCTACAGCGTGGAGAGTGATTTGAAAAGATTGCAGCTAATCATTGGGGGGTGTAATACTAAATTGTGCAGAATTTTCTGTAAAGATTCCCAATGAGTAATGCATTCGGATTCCTTTTGGGGCCAGCATATTGTATAATGCCATTGTTGAACCGACAATGAAAAGTTCAGTTCTTTTTCCTACCATTCCATAGTGTCCAGTTTTACGTTTGTGTTTGGTTCAGCTATGATTCGAAATACCGTAGACATTCCTTTTTGATTGGTCCTGTTATCTTTGAAGGACAGGATATTCCTCGTGTGATGATTGTCTTTCATACACAAAGATGAGAGAAAATGTCTAATGCAAAGGTATTCTGTAAAATTCCTTGATGGAGAATACGTATTTGCATTGTAGGATCTCGAAGGAGTCCAATGAGCTATTAGTATATAGGTCTCCTATTGTATGAATGCCTGAGGAAACCCAGCAATGAAGATTCAGGTCTGTTAAGAAAAGATCCAAAGTAGATAGCGGAATACATAAAAATGTATTGAGGCTGACGGTGGACGAACTTGAACGGGCGTTCCAGGTTTAAGTCACAGTTGTGACAGCATCCATAAAGGACTTCTTGAGGGTTGTGCCCTAAGAGCATAGAGCATAACATCTATCTGACATCAAAATCTAGGATGGCAGATTTAATTTTTTACCCATAGTTTATCCAAGGATGAGGTCCACCAATGCTTGGCTTGGTCCAATATGGAGGCTTTGTTCTATAATGATAAGTCAAGAGAACACATACCTACTCTTGATCTTGGGGTGTAACGGCACTTCTTTGGTATCCGGGGGTTTTTAACTTCCCAAATGTAGCAGTTAACCACTGACTGTAGTTTCCAAAGGTAAGATGGTAGAAATTGGACATGTAAAGCCTGGAATAAATACAGAATGTGAGGTAGTATCAAACTTTTAGGGAGGCTAATCCTGCCAGCCCAAGAAGCTGGGATGGTTTGAAGGTCCTTGCATAAAGTGTTACTTTAAGCTAGGAGTGCTGTGTAGTTTACATGAAAAAATTTGAAGAAAGAGAGGCCAGTTGAATATCCAGATACAGGAGGGAGGAGGATGGAGTCCACGAGAATGGAGAAAGGTGGGAGACAGTGAGCTGGAGCATGGGTGAGAGATTTATAGCCAACATTTGTGATTTGCTATAATTGACTTTATATAGAGAGATATTCCCTAAAAATGTTCAATGTATCCTGGACAGCTGG